AATAATAACCGTTACACATCCTCCCCTTCCCTTCTCCTCCCTTCTTCTTCTCCCTTCGTCGCGGTTCCTCCCCGACCCTCGACACCATCCTCCCCTCCCCTTCCCATCCGGGACCACTGCTCCTCCTCCCTCTTCCATCCCTTCCTCGCAGCGCCCTCCCACCACCACACACACCCCCCCCCCTCACGGCGGTGCCCCCTTCCTCCACCCTTAGCCGATAGAGTTGGTTGCTGATGATGAAAATCTCGATATTCTAGGTTATGGTATGCGATCTTGGCAATTGTTGTTTTTAATCTTGATAGAGTAGGTTATTTTTTATATTCTCTGATTCCTGGTAGAATGTTATAGTTATTGGGTTTGCTGATCATCTTCTTGACACCATCAATTTTAACTTCTGACATGTTTCTATTTTTTATAAAATATATGTCTGATTTTTTTTTCTTTTTATTGCTCGTGTCTTCTGGAGGAAAGGAAAGTTATATAATGTAGTAGGGCTAGTAGATAATCTTCTCTTTTGGTGAATAAATAATTTAGTGTAGTATTACTTATTGATAATTTGGTGAATAAATAATGTTTTGGAAGTCCCTGTTGTTGAAGCATCTGAACACATATTGGATTTTAACTTAACTACAGGTTTTGTAAACTAATTTTTGCAATTTTGGGTTTCATATTAAGTGTTTCTTTGCACATATGGTTAACCTATTTATACAGTATCATTGTCATATGAGTAAATTAAGGTATTTTACATTTGTTAGAGTGTTTTTAAACTATTCTGGGTGACTTGATAAAGTGTGATTGGTCATTAAACACTAGAAGCAAGGCATTTAACTGAGATTTATGTTTCTTTTTCTGCATCCTTAATTTGCCCGTCTTTTACTCATTGTGCATCTGACATTATCCCTAAACCCTAATCGAAAACCATAAACTCTAAACCCTAAATTATTGTAAATCTTAATTATTTAAATTATCAATTATTTTATTATTGCCAATGTCGCCTATGTCAATTATTTTAAATCTCAATTATTTATATTATTTAGTAATATTTATTTTTCCATAGGAAATATGATGTCATGGGGAGGATCGCCTTCACTAAGCGGGCGCGGGGCCCATGCGCTCGTTTGGGTCAAGCAAGGCTCTGTTCAGAACCAGCGTGATGCAATCAATCATTACTGGGTGAAACCTTATTCTAGTTAGTTTATATCTTTAGTTCGATTGAACCAAATGAGAATACGGACAGCTTAAAAACCCGCCCCTTACCCACCCGCACAATGGACACCGCGGGCACCCGTGCCCTAAACCCAGCGACTCTTTCTCCCGAGCGATGACTACGGCGTTTTCTCGGTGATCGGCTGTCTTCCTCCTCATCGGCGAACAGCGGAAGCAACGGCGGTGTCTTCCTCCGCTGAGTTCCTGTCGCTGCTTCGTTTTCCTCGGTGAACGGCGATTGCCGCGTCTTCCTCCCCATCGGCGAAACAACGTCTCCGCCCCCCCGGTATCTCTCTCTTTCTTTTCCTCTTCCTCCTTCGTCGTTGCAGCCCCCCCTTCCTCGATCCCTCCTCTCTCCCCCTCCCTCTTCCACTGTCGCAGCTCCGATCCTTCCGCCGACACCTTCCTCCCCCTCCCTTCTCCTCCCTCTTTACCCTTTACCCCTCTCTCGCTGCTCCTCCCTTCCTCGACACCATCCTCCCCTTCCCTCCTTCTTCCCCCTTCGTCACGTTTCCTCCCCCTTCTCCGACACCATCCTCCCCTCCTCTTCCCCTCCGGGACCACAGCTTTTCCTCCCTCTTCCATCCCTTCCTGGAAGCGCCCCCCCAAACCCAATACACCCCGCAACCGTCGCCCCCACCCCCGATAGAGTAGGTTACTGATGTGGAAAATCTCGATATTGTAGGTTATTGTATGCGATCTTGGCAATTGGTGTTTTTAATCTTTAGATTAGGTTATTTTTTATATTCTCTGATTCCTGGTGGAATGTTAGTTAATGGGTTTGCTGATCATCTTTTTGACACCATCAATTTTAACTTCTCACATGTTTGTATTTTTTTATAAAATATGTCTGATTTCTTCTTCTTTTTATTGCTCGTGTTTTCTGGAGGAAAGGAAAGTTATATAGTGTAGTAGGGCTATTGGATAATCTTCTCTTTTGGTGAATAAATAATTTAGTGTAGTATTGCTTATTGATAATTTGGTCAATAAATAATAAGTTGGAAGTCCATGTGGTAGCTCATAGTTTTTTTTAACAGAACTAAAACTATATGAAGTTTGTATATTAAAGGAATTATCTTATTTTAATTGAGATTTATGTTTCTTTTTCTGAATCCTTAAATTGACCGTCTTTTACTCATTGGTGCATCTGACATCTTTGACCCATGTTTTATTTGAGATATTGGTGGTGCAACATAGAAAGGTCATACTGTTTATCACCTAGCTTTCAGTTCAAATGAGAACGTACAGTGTGTACATGCATCTCTTGTCATAACATTGATGAAGTGACTGCTTGCACCGAAATAGAGGCTATCAAGCATCTTTATGTTCAATAGTAGGGTATAACTCAAACATTAAAATTTCATTGTATCATTCACTCCTCTAGAAAAGGTACGGATGATGATCTCAATTTTAAAGCCATTGGCTCTGATCTGTGAATGCTAAAGGCAAGTGAAGATTGCCCTTGTATTAAGGGCAATCTTGACCTTGTATTAAGATTAATCTCAATTTTAAAGTCATTTGTATTAAGGGATTGCCCCCATTTATGAGTTTTTTACCATACAAGTCCTTGGTTACGTTAGTACATTCTAGTTGCATGTAATGGCATGAGCTGCATGTTGCCTTGTGCAATGTAGACTGATTGGTAAGGAAGCACAAGTACACCTTCAGTGACTTGTACATCCCAGATATAAGGCGAGGATCATTGAATTTTTCTCAAAGGTTAATTTGTTTTATGAAACCAGTAGGACATTATTTTACTTTTGTTGAAGTTGGCATTTCTTTATTTGTTCATTAGCTTAAATATTTGGTATTTTTTATGTTTGTTATCTTTCCAGAGTGGGATTACCAAGCAGTAGGGAGTTATTTGATGCTAAATTGGAGAAGAAAACTTACAGGATTATTACTCGAGTTTATGAATGATTCCCAGAAAACATTGCTACCAGTTGTCCAAAAGCCTGATGGGAAGAAAAATTTGATGGTTTGTGATCAGATTCCTATGAACAATTTCTGCTGCTAAATAGATCTCTAGGTCTTTGTTTATCTTTTATATCTCCTCTGACTACTCTATGTTATATTTGATATTACTGATTCTGAGGTACCAAATTTAGTTTATTATTTAATTTTTAAAGAAGAATAGAGTGATTTGCTTAATAAAGCTCCAACAAGTCACATATGTAGTACCTGGTATTGAAGACTTTGACCACATTGATATCTCTGAATTTGTTCAAAAAGCTCAGGGTCTCTTAGTAAGTTTCAGAAAATTAGAACTTGGAGACAGTGACAGTGACAGCTGAGGAATTAGCTGTGGTACCTATTTTGCAGAATCAACTTTCCATGCTTGAACACTGCTCATCTTTCATTCTTCAGATTATATATGGCAGCAAGGAATCTCTTGAAAGCTATTGTTCCCTTCTCTTGTTGTCTAGAGATGACATATTTTAATGTGGTTGATGGCAAGGGATATTCTTCTCTATATGAACCACGAGCAAGCATCAAGGGTCAATACGAGGATTCTTTAGGAAAGATTCGTTTGGTCAATTTTCGTGGCTGCCCAACCACTTACTCAATGGTGGCGACAGGCTACTTTTCATGGACGAGGTGGTGGTGGGTTTTCTCTCGTTGCATCGGTCTTCGATGACGATGGCATGCTTTTGCTTGCTTCCAACCTATTGTCATCGTTCCGTCGTAAGTTCTTGATCCTTGGTCCAAAGATGGTTCGGTACAGGGATTCTTTGGGAAAGATTCTTTTGGTCTATTTCATGACCGCCCCTTCCTCGACGATGGTGGAAACCTAGCCGTAGACACCATCATCAGCTTAGATTCCTTGGTAGAGGCTAAAAACGAAGGTGGTGATCAACAAGGAGGGTTTTCTGTAGTTGCATCGATGGTGATCTCATGCTTTTGCTTGTTTCCTATCCTATGGTGGCCATTCTTTCGCAAATTCTTGATCCTTGGTGCAGAGAAGTGTCGGTTTAAAGATTCTTTTGAATAGATTCTTTTGGTCACAGATTTTCATAGCATGCTATGCTGCTGCCTAGCTTGCAATGAAGATGGCAATTGACGAGGTGGCTTTTTTCTCTCATTAGGCCGGTGATGCTTTGTCTTTCTTCCAGCCCTATCATTGTTGTTTGATCACAGATTCTTGATCTAATGGTCCAGAGGAGAAGAGTTAGTAGGTTGGTTCTTTGGGACATAGAGTGTTCCTTTGCCACATGATTGATTTCTGCCCATTGGCGAGGAAACCTTCTGTCAATGGCATAATTGTGTTGATAAAGGAACCTGAGGTGTAGTAGATTATTTGGTCATAGTGTGATGCTATGATCGTGCTGTTTGTGCTTCTTATGGATGAAGAAGAGATAATTGGATTGGTTGCCGATAAGTGGCTGAGAAAGTTTATTCATTAGTGGTTGATAAATCCAGCTAATCTGTTTGTAATATTATGATCAGCTTAGTGAGTGTGGGAAGTTCTATATGGCAAGCCAAGGCAGGCACCGACCACAGCCGGTAATTGAATATGATATTTATTCAGGTAAGCATTGTTTTGATTGAAGCTTATTGGACTTTCGTAGTTCTAATGCTTGAGTGAATATTCTTGTGCAATTTAGTTGTCTTCTGTCTTTTTTTTTATGGCATGTTATACTTAGGTTTGTATCACATAAAATTATTTTAGTAATCTCTTTTTAAGTAATAGAAGCTATATAATTGATTTGCATTTTCTTTCCATAATGCATTTTCATTACTAATTCTGTTACATCTGTCTTGTATACATGTCAATACGTCATCTTATATAAGACTTTTGGATGGCTTGACGAATATGCATTCATGAATCTAACATTTATATTTTCCCCTAAACCCTAA